CCACCGAGTTTCACAAAAAAATTCACTATACTTTGCACGGAATAGCAATTGGTTCCGTAATGGAAATCTCAGCCTATCTATTTAAATAAATGCACATATAACATAAAGGCGATTTATTTGAAGCAATTTTAAAGAAACAATGATAGAATATTTGTTTGTGTATGAATTCATTTGTCACTGCTTCCAAACTGTGCGGCCAAATTATCAGTGAAACAAAACAAACAGAACGATTAATAATTGAACCAGATATCTTTCAGGATCATATCGTTGTTGTTGAATTTGCGTGCAAAATTTTTATGCGGATCCCGATTATTGCACAAGAAAACATAGCTAGTGTTGCGACAGAGTTGCATTGGCTTCAGTTTATCAAGTTTATTCAGTGAAATCGCTGGAGAAATTTATCAGAAATGTGTAAACGAGTTTCCATACGAGATTTGACAGTTTATTTACAAGGCTTACACAATTATAAGTTTATACGGTTTACAATGCATTTATAAGGTTTGATGAATACCCTTATTGAGAGGCAGTCTGACATTTGCCATCAACAGTGTTGCCGTTGCGAATTTTCAGAAAGTCTCAAAAAGGGTCATTGACGAAAAAAAGGGTCACCATATTAAATTTGCTTCTCTTTACTAGTAAAAGAATAAATTTGTTGATTTTAAAAAGAAAATGCACATAAATCTAGTTGCTGCAAGGAGAAGAGTTGCATTTCCCTTAAAAGTTTAAGTGATGCATTTTTTTGTACTTACAGGAGAAACTAATTTTTAGTAGAATGATTCTGCTAACATTTCCTAAAAACATCTTTGAAAAGGGCCAAAAGTCCCAAATAATTTTGGAAAAGGGTAAAAAATCAAAATTTTCAAAAAGTCGGGTCAAAGGGTACCGCCGCTTAAAAAGGGTCAAATTGGCCCTTTAGTCACACAACGGCAACACTGGCCATCAATATACTTTTAAAATTCGAACTTAAGCTCACACACACATTCTCCCTTTTTAATCTCAAACAAGAACAATTGTGAACAATTTAATTTTTTATTTTCAATTTTATTCGATTTTAAAATGTTTGCAAACGTCAGAAAAAATCATGGCCGACGAATTGAGAGAATGATTTTACCTTCTAATGTTTTTATCATGCTTGTATGTGTATGCCAGTATTATGAAAGTGCGCATAAATTTTGTTTAATCGTTCCTCGCTTTGATCAAGTTCTTGTTTGTCAACAAAAGTACGCGAACATTTCCTTCTCTCTCTTTTTTTATTTATTTATTTGTGCGCAATTTTCTCACCCACTGCCATTCTTCTTCATTCGCGTCTAGGGTTCGGACGCTACTATCGATATTGAGTAAGCATCGATACTGAAAGTATAGAAATGAGTACTTTACTTTAATACTCGATACCTTATTTGGTGATTTTACTCGATACTTTGCAAAGTACTCGTAGTATCAAAAACTCTTTAAAAAACACACTTTTATTATTTATTTTCTTCCATTTGCAACCCAATTTGCTTTGAATTAATATCATGATAAAAATATTTATAAGGTACAATCGCTGAGAGCCAGCTTTAGGAATTTTGACGTTTGCTAGCATTGTGTGTAAGCATGATTCAATAATACAAGGTTAGATAATTATTGACAGCTGCGGTTTGACACTCACTTACAAAAGGTTGCATTTTCGAAGGACGGAGAAAAGGGGAGGAATGAAACCTCTTGGTGCGAAAATGGTAGTAGAAAAGTCCGCAAAGTAGGCAATTAGTAGTGAAATTCCACTGCTAAGGGAGCGGTGCGACAGAGACAACTCTCAGTTTATCGAACCTTGTGTTATTGAATCATGTAGTGTAAGGAACATATGCCCGCATTTTAAAGCGAAGATTTTGGCATACATTTAGAAATATTGGCGCATATTCGTAGTCATATTTAGTACTCAACTAAGTCGAAACTATTCTAAGTCACAACTAAAGCTATTCATAGTCGCCTTAGTTTCGACATTTCTGGCTAAGTACCAACTTAAATTTTAGTTTCGGCTGCAGCTGCAACTAAGTCGTAACGAGGAAGAAGTATTTTATCAAATTAAGGGAAAACAGACGAAATATGTAAAAATTAAGTTGGTAGAGGGTGATTTTGATAATATTGAATAAACTCCAATTAAAATTTACAAAGATCGATCCATTTTAATCGGAAGATGACATTAAATGCGTATTACAACTCGAATAAAGGTACATCGTTTTGCTATATCGTAAACTAAGTCGAAACTACTTAGTAGAAGTCTGAAATGCGACTATACTAGATATACGATTGAAGAATAAAATAATTTAGGTATCCCAAACAGGGATGCCGTTTGGATCTGAATAGATCCAATTGGATACATTTTTAGACGAATTTTTGCGGGATACTTATTTTTTCCTATTAGTATAAATGTGGATACTTTTTTAAATAGGCCAAAATCTTATATTTTCTATAAAGTTTTTTCGTTCAAAAATAGATTTTCAATAATGACGTTTTCTAAATGTTATAAAAATCGTTATTTAAGCGTGAAATTAGAGCATTCTATTTTTTGTGAATGAAGCAATGAACATATGAAGAGATCTCACCAGAGCAGTGTAATAAGAGCTATAACAGACGGCAGCGTTGATCCGGATCAACTCGTGAATTAACTGCATTCATTTGTTAATATAAAAAGAAAGAAGATCTCAATGTAGTTTTAAATACACTGTTTAAAAACTAAATTTGATTTATTTAAGGAGATTTTTATGAATTTTACTGAAAAGACACTCTAATTTTTTTTTTGTTTATTTGCGCATATTAAGAAAGGTAACCATTTTCCTCTTAATGTGTGCAAATTTGCACACCATGTAATAAAATTAAACACTGCCTGTTTACTTTAACATACCAAATTTGTCGCAGAGCGCAAAATAACACATAAAATGTTTAAAATAGAGTAAATGTACGCCCCTAATGTTTATTATTTCTAGGAAATGTATTTTTAGTTTAAAAATTTTTGCAACTTTAAACTATTCATGTGTATATTTTAAAGATCTCAAGTTCAAAATCGAATCCTGAACATCTTATACGTATGTATATTTATACAGATTCCTGTTGAAAAATAAATATTTTTCAGAAGTAGTTTTACACACACTTTTCATATTGTACAGGTACAAGTGTAACATATTAATTAGTATTTTTTATACTTACATTGCAAAATACTTATGTATAAAAGATGTAATTTATAAGTTGAAATTACAAATGTTTGATTTTATGATCTTACAAATTATGAGGTGGATACGTAAAAAAAGAAAATTGGATACATTTGGATACATTTTTGGCTTGGTTGGTGATACATTTTCTTGGGACGGCGTGGCAACACTGATCCCAAACAACATATTTCGATGAGTGAGTAGTATACTTTTAAAGTATCGATACCATAAGCTCGATGCTAGAATGAGTACACAGTATCGATACCGAAGTCTGAAATTTCGAAACCTATTCGCATCATGGCGCAATAAACAGGTGAAGTAATAAAACAGCTTTCTCGGTTTATTTTCTGACATTCGGCTGCCTTATAGTCAAGTTTTAAAGACAATGGCCCGTAGTCATAGTCAAAATAAAGTCGACTTTAAAGTTAGTTGCAGCTTTTTGACATAATTTTCAATGGGATATCTGTCAAAAAAGCTGCAACTAACTTTAAAGTCGACTTTATTTTGACTATGACTACGGGCCAATTTTTCAAATAAGGCAGTGTCAAAATCTTTCTTCTCGCTCTAATTACTTTACCTGATATAATTCCGCCATGTATTCGCATCAGCAATTTTTATTTACAATTCTCCAGGGTGCTGTGTGGATAGTTCTTGAAAGCTTGTTTACTACACTTACGAACTAACCTAATACCGACAACGAAAACACCTTGAAAACGAGTTTTGAGATTGTGGGCTGAAGGCTGTTCACACCGATTGTTGGTGTTTTCGTTGACATTTCTTACATCCTTTGTTTACAGTTTTGCTACACCATAACAAAACCAAAATACTTTTCCTTCAATTTATTTTCATTAACAACCTTTTACTTCAATGCTTACTTCATTTTGGCCAGCCAATTAACAATAAATAAACAATTACGTATTAAAGATGATAAAATATGACTTCCACTTCGATAAATAATAAAAAAAAACTAGTGCAGATACCGATTGGAATGAGTGCAACGTGAGTTTTCAAGTGGTTTTCAGCGAAAACTAANTTTTCCTTCAATTTATTTTCATTAACAACCTTTTACTTCAATGCTTACTTCATTTTGGCCAGCCAATTAACAATAAATAAACAATTACGTATTAAAGATGATAAAATATGACTTCCACTTCGATAAATAATAAAAAAAAACTAGTGCAGATACCGATTGGAATGAGTGCAACGTGAGTTTTCAAGTGGTTTTCAGCGAAAACTAATTTTCGTTTGACAGTTTTTACATGGACGAAAACACAAGTTTTAGGTCGAAAACCAGTTTTACCAATGAAAACATGTTTTCGATGTCGGTCAGAACATGGTATTAGGTGCCTAAATTATATTACTATCTGACTTTTACGTAATATGCTAACACACAATCACATGCATATAAAAATTGTAACTACCTGGATTTTCACGTATTGTTGTTTAGATCAGGACTTTTAGTTGTGAAGAGGAAAAATATTTTAAAATTTTCCACACGACATACATCACTGCTTTAGTTTATGTGCGATGTTTTGATTTCAAAGTAAGATTGCGCTGATAGCGGTGATGGTTGATAACCAAAATTACCTGATCGGTTAGTGATCGGTTAGTGCAATCTTTTTGATTTTTGAATCTAATTTTTTCTATGCAGTTATCTTTAATCAATTTCTCAATTTGAATTTAAATATATCGGTGCAAAAGTGAACATAAGATGACGCTACTTTTTAGTTGAACACACTCCTACGACGTTTACGGCGTGACTTTGACAGCTTGACAGCCGTCGGCAGCGACACACTTTCGTGGCGTCAAATTCATTTTATTTGAAAACAACTGAATTTTCGTCCTACAACCAATGCAAACCGGAGATAACTCGAAGCAAGCTAATTACGTAGAAATTTTACTGAAATTCGTAAAACGCAAATCGTATGAAAGTTTGGTAAAGTGCATAAATATATTTGCTAAAAGTTTTGGTGAAAGAAATTAATAAGAGCTGAAGATAATTTTTATAAAATAGTGAATGAGAAAATTACCAGTTGGGCTGAAAAAAGTGAGTATAATTGTTGTATTTGCAATGAGTGACTACTGTTTGCAAAAGCAATCGTAATGACGCTCAGCGAAAGCGACAACAAAAGGTGAGCGCACAAAATGCTGTAGAAGATGAATGCGATGGATAGCAAATCAAAAAGACAGTGAAAAATGAACAAAATTAATGGAATATATATGAGTCGTTGTTAGCTCATTATCCATAAACCAGAAATTTTAATATTTCCACTATAATATTTTTTTCATTCTAATTTGTGGCGCTCAATGACCGTGTCCGCTTTCTGTATGAATTCGCAGTACGTAAAACTAACAACGACGCCTGGGCGCAGGTCAGCAGCAGTGACCGCGGGACATTGGAAGCAGCAGCAGCAGCAACAGGCTCAGCAGCAGCAACAACTGTCGGACCATAGTATCTTTGTTCAGCCAGTAACAGTAAGAGTAGCAACCGTGGTGCAGCCCCAGAAGGTCAGAGCGCAGGAAGCCACTACTAGTGGCTTCGGTGGCTCCGATAATCCTAACAATACAAATATCACCGCAGCACCTATGACGCCCACTAACGCGGATACGCCGTTGCGTCGCTCCGAAGTGGGAATATTCCGTGACGGAGCACGCAATGTCAATGCAAATATCGGAACTCCTTTCAACGATGATGATGAGGAACGACGTCAGGCGCGTCGGCGCACAATGTTACAAGGTAGCAGTGGTCGCGAGTCAATGTTTGAGGAGAATGAGACTCTGAAAAAGTGTTTGGAAATATATAACGGCAATAAGCTTAGTAGGGAAAACGCGTGGTCATTATCACTAATTGACACGCTTTCGACTCTTTTGGACCGTCATCACAAATCGCTAAATAACTTTAAGGTAAGCGTGCTGATCTAATTTATTTCATTTACGAAAAACAGTCAAAATTTTTGCTTCCCTTTGCTCTATAGGTCGCTGGGTCCTCACTGGAAGCTTCTTCAAAAGTTTATGGACTTCGTGTCGATTCTGTGCACACGGACGTGCTTCGCATGTCTGCAGGTTTGAATGCACAAAAATTTGTTGATCGTCAGGGTCAAAGTGATGATGATGATGACGTGGCAACCGGTGGTGAGGGCAATGCGGATCCAAATGCGTCAGCGGCTGGCGTCAATGAAAATGGTGAGAAGGTCGCAGAGAAAGCTAAGCCCAAACCGAAACGTACGCGACGCGTTGTGTCGACAATCACGAAGAATAAGGATACTTTAAATTCGCGTTTAGATACAGTGCCATTGCAGGATCCTGTTTTTGGCAAATTAAATACTATAGTGGGATCTATAAACTCGTCCAATCGACTGATGAATAATATATTGTTGACAACTGAATCTGAGCTACGCCTGCGGACAACATTTCAGTTTTGGGATGCTCAACCAGTAGCGTCAGGGTGCGACTATACCCTAGCACCCGATCCTAAGGAAACAAACGAAAATGTCGTCCCTGAATCAATGGATTGGGCGCCATGCGATCGGTTAATGCAAATAAGGCGCATCGATGATTTGCATTTACGACCGTTGCATACGGGTTATGTGATCTCTGATACGCCTGAGCCGATTGCAGACATCAATGAAGAGCCGGACAGTCTGCGAAACAGTATTGATTATTGTGGTGATGGTGGTGGGGACCACATATCAATGGCATTTGATATAAACGCCGAATGTGAACCACTGCCGGCATTAAACGATCAACCCGCCTTGCTTGATGTGGATTACAATGATTTTGAAGAATTAACTACAGGTGAAGTGGATAACTTTTTTTTTAATTTGTATTGTTTAAACTATTAAATTATTATATAAATATATTTTTTGTCTGTTCTTTTTCAGAGGAGCGCACTGCCATCAATAACTGTCGTGGCCTTCGTAAAGTACCAGTGCTCATAGAAGATCTGCGTCCAGTAGATGCCACCTCAAAGCTCGAATATTCATATCGGCCGCTGGATAAAATTTCGCAATTTTGGGCCGGTCCATCACATTGGAAATTCAAACGCGCCCGACCACGTCCTTCAACTCAGCCCACATTACAGGGGGTAAATAATCAGCGTGGAAACGCACGTCGCACCAATGCGCTTAGCAAGAAACGTTCGAAGCAATTGCAATTTGAACAGGAAACCGACGACATTTTTGTCAAAATAGATAAGTACAAAGCGCGTAAAGCAAATTTTCATAAGAAATGGGATCAACGTAAGCTAAAGTTACCAACCGATTTACAATTAGACCCAGAAATGTTTAATAAATTCAAGTGCGCGCCGAGCGCTGTTGTGAGATCAGATCTTGACGACGATGACGTTGAATCGGCGTTGTTGGGCGCTGGAGATGGTATGCATGACGGAACTATGGATGGTAATGAAGGAGGAGATCATTTTGCTGATCACAATGATGGAGTTGGTGGTGTAGAAGATCCAGGTGGATTAAGTGGCATTGGAGGAATTGCAAGCTTGGGTGGTGAAAACTTTATGAACGTTTCTTCATCGGCTTTGGGCGAAGGTGGTATACTGACACAATCACAGTTGGATGACGGTTGCGACAATGCGGCGAACAATACTGTGTTGGAGATAGCAACAAGTTTCGATGGTGCGCCGAGTCAGGTGAGTAACGTGATCGAAAAGCTTTATTAGTAAATCCTCAGTTAAATAGTGTAAAAAATCCAAATGACTCAAATATTTTTTACCCGTAGCACTGTTACTAACCGCTTCCATCTCTCTGCAGGTCACAAAAATTATAGTGCCTTTTGCCAAGCGTGCGAAAGTGATAGATATGAAGAGTTTGAAGCGTTGCTGTACACAGTTAATTAACAAGCAAATTAAAGTCCCAATGCCACCGGAGCAGATACCACAACATCCAATAATACGGGAAGAGCACTACGCCGCAGGTATGGCCAGCTTTAAAGAGGTTTACGATCATCTGCCCGAAATATTATCACAAAATATGGCAGACGCGCTTTCGCCCTCCATTGCTTTCTATTCGGTGTTGCATTTAGCGAATGATTTCAATTTGCGGCTAATACCCCAAACAGATTTAAATGATTTCAAAATACGACAATTGACAGATTGATAATTGATGATCCATTATCGATGTCGATGACGATGGCGATGGCGATAAATTAATAGTGCAACGTGCGACCAGTGTACATTAAAGCAAATCTGACCTCCCGGACATAACCCAAAATACAAATAAATTTTACACACTTGTTATAAAGGTATCGTTAAAAATTAAGAAATTATAAGATGTACGCATAGTTAACAGCAACAACAACAGCAAAATGATTAGTTTAAGGAATTCTATATCTAACCATTTTCTTAGGCAATTTCGTTAAGTACATTTTCTGCTGACTTTTTTATTTTTTTCGCTTTCTCTTTATAATACACGAACAATTAAAATGCATTTCATTTCATTTTATGACAAAAAAAAAAACAAATAACTCGTTTTGCTATCCTTTAGCAATTTTTATGGCCTGGACGATGTATTTTGGGCGTGTTGTTAAATTTCATACTAAAATTAAAAACAAATTTTTGAAACTGTTATGTAGCTGTGCTTGTTTCATGAAGGAAAATAGTAAAATTTTTTCTCAACATTCTGTGCAGAAGAACACATACTATATGTACATATATGATTTTAGATATTGTGACCACGTTATTAAGTGAAAGCGTTTTTATGAATCTGAGTTAAGTTTCTAATTGGTAATAAAAAGAAATTCGGTCATAATTTTTTTATAACGTAAATACATATGTACAACATAACACAATAATGCGATAAGGTGCATTAACTAAGCTTTGCATATCCTTTTTAGTTTCAATACATATTGGTTCAATTTTGCATCATGTACGGTATATTTCCAAATAATTTTATTTTCAAATAGCTAGAACGTATATATGTACATACATATATGTATACTAAATGTTCGTATATTATGAGCAGTTTAAACGCCTTCGAAGAAATCGCAGTGGCGTGACAAACCAAAACCAAGTATATACTCCATGCTCGAAATTGCACCAATGCAAAGCATCAGTCTATTTTATTTTTAAACGATGATTGATGGAAGTGCCAAATATGTCCAACAACGTTTAAATGCAAAATAGGTATCTAGTTGCGGAAATTGCTAATTTCCATGAATTCTAGCTAAGAAATAAAGTTGCTGATGCTTTTCATTAACGTACATATTTCTGAACAGGAGGAAATTTAGGCCGCTCTGATAGTTGCCCCTGATAAAAGGATGCGATTAGTTTTTTGGTGGTTCCAAATTCTGTTTTCTATCTAAAATTTATTTGCAATTATTATAATTTTTTAATTTACACACATACATACATATCAGCGATCGTTATAGATAGTTCGTGGCATAGGCATGACCTTTTGCAAATGAAATTAAAAAAGCAAAACGTAAAAAATCAGATAGGTTCTGCAATTCATAGGAATCGGCTAAACGGACCAACGGCATTTGATTAAGCTGGCCAAACACTGAAAAAGCACCAAAGGATTTGAAAAAGTTGGTTACCATCTCTTTTTTTTCTCAATTTGCAGTTGGAGAAATAAGATCCCACTTTTTCCAAAGTTAACGGCGCGGGAAGGGGAGGGGATGGGAGAAGTTTTTGGCACAGATCAATGTTCAACTGAAACAATTTTTATTATATATATACATATGTACATATGTATATGTATGTAGGTATGAAATTTGTGAGCGAATCGAAAAAAAAGAAGAAAAAAAAACAATTATAGAAATTGGTTACCGTGGTCCAAAGTTATGCGGTAACATACATACAAAAAAAAAAAAAAAATATTCCGACGAGTTGATAAGCTTCTCCTTTTTGTGAAGTCGGTTAAAAATCATTTTACTTGTTTATTTTTGAACCTTAAATTCACAACTTCAAATCCATACACAAAGGAAATGGGAATCAACTTTTACAAATGCTTCGGTATTTACTCATATTTTGATCTCTTTTAATGAATGCTATTGGTCTCATTCCCACCACGTTTTAAGTATTGCAACATTAGAACATTTAAAAGAAAAACAACACGGGAGATTTAAAAACTATAGTACATTTGGTCGAAGCCGCACTGCTGTCCATACAAATCTTTCCTTGCATTAGTCATGGAAAAATACATACATTTTTCAAGTAAGCACTGTGTAGAAAAAGGCAAAATGCACTTGTTTAGCAAAATTGTTATCATACAAATGTAAATTCATGCATACATACATATATATTTACACATCATATACACATACATACATAGTGTATATAAGCTATTAAGCATTCATACAGTCTGTATATCATATGACATACAGGCCTATTCATACGTACATACATATGTACATATACAGTGACTCAAACAAGAGTTTATTTCTTATTTTTTTTTTTTTGGTATTCACAATAGCGTTATTCAAATAAAGTCTCAAAATGCCGATAAAAGAGATAAGGTTATAAATTCCATACCAATTTACACACGTTTATCGGCAGATTATCCCGTTATATGAATACCTTTTAATGTATCTCCTCCGATTTGTGGTCTGCGCTTTGATGTTGTCACACAAAGAAGAAGCTGTTTTTGATGGCAGAAATACACTCGGGAAAACACTAGAAAAAACCTTAATGCTAATGCTTTCGCCAAAACCGTATAAATCGAAGTTTCAAACCTTATACAAAATTAAGAAAAAATCAAAAAACTTTCATCAAAATTTTGAGCTTCTTTAGACGATTCTTTAAAACATATTTGGGTATGTAGTTTAATAGCTCATAAAATTTTAGTCTAATACATAAAGTTCGGCTGATTTTAGTGAAGCCAAATTGGAATCGAGTTGACGATATTGCTTAAACGATCAAACAATTTATGTTTTCATGACGCAAGACAATCTCAACACGATATCGTACAAACGCTTATCGTCATACGTGATTCATGCCATGGGTTTGGTAAAAAAATAAATTCAAAAATTTTAACTTGAAATCCATATTATTATGGAATCTAAACAGTCAAAATGTGAATACTTGTTTTGGTCACTGTATATATTATCTAACATTGAAATTATATTAGTTAATTTCATATTATTTGCAAATAAATTTTTTTAATTTTAAGTGGAATTTTTGTCTTGTGTTCTTAATTTGATATTTTGGATTATTTTTTATGTTACTTAAGTTACGAGTATATTTGAAAAAAAAAACAAAAAAAAAGCGGTATTATCAAGGCATATTAAACAGGCAGAAAGAAGCATTAAAGCAAAGACATTTACAGCAGGCGGTTCTACGTACTGGCATGACTCGGGCTTTACCCGACCAAGGGCTGTTGTTTCGGCGATCTAACCCGGTTTAGGTTGGTGAAATCTCTTAAACGTTATTCGTCCATGGTGCCGCATCCGGTCCGCATTCTTTTGCTCAGGGCTGGCATCGAGTTAAAACCTTGACCAGAAACCAACACCTGCTGCGTAGGTCAGAGACGAATACGCCCGAACTCCACCTCAGTCAGGTGCAATACCTTGCCTTAGAACTTGCCGGCAGGGGACCATGTTATTTGTGGCCCCATGTTGCTCAAACCGAACTGCCACCACGACACACAAGAGATCACCTGAGCAACACAACCACCCTCCAACATAACACAGACATAGACATAGAAAGCACAGGCACAACTACACCCCCACCTCCACCTACACGCCGCCGCCAACAGCTCGTAGTTCCTCACAAAATCTGCTCGGTGCGTCAGTCCAGGATATACCGTAACGTGACATCAGTCAAGTGCAATTCCTGGCTTGGCTGGTGCCACTTTAGGGCATGTTACGCACGTCGTGAGCAAATTTGTGGGCCCTTGGGTACTCACAACAGCAGCACACACAATAAATGGTCGACAGGCAACTCCACAAATCACACCCTGTATTACGACCAGTCTGCCAAGGCACACAAAGACACTACAGTTCAACTGTAACGGACTCCAGTGCAAGATTGAGAAGATATTGATAGCTACGCTCCAAAAGACCAACGTGAACAGCAACTCAACATTTTGAACTGGGCCGAATACAATGTGAACCGTAGAGATCGCGAGCGAGATAATAGTGGTGGTTTATGGGTCGATTATGGATGGCAACGCAACCGCAGCTGGGTTTCCGATGGGCAACGCCCCTGAAAGGAAAATCTATAGTACGAATAACAACTATAGTTAAGTTCTATAAAATTGAAGGCATTAAAATTTTGAAGAACCAGCAATTAAGACTTGAGTGTAAATAAGTTGAAAGAAACAGTTGAAAAAAGAAAGAAATTTCCGCGGCAACCACAAAAATGCAGTTGCCAATATAGCAACTCAGTTGCCAGTTGCCATCTGTAATACCATTTCAGCCACTGTCCACCCAACTGAAGTTCGGTTTCAATCCCGACCTATTAGCTATCATCAATCACCACACCGTGCATTGTAGTCTTATCGCAGCAGACAGCGACCTCAAGGAAACCATCATAAAGTTTCAGTATTTTTCTCTCCGGTCCGGTGAAAATTTGTAACGAATGATAGAAGGGGTACACACTTCGATGTACTATTCGGCATTCTGCACAATGAACGACGACGCACCCATTAGGATTATGGGTAGCTGCAGCAGCTCGTCTGGTGTAACAACAGTAAGAGCTGGCCTGATAAACAGTAGAACGTGGCGACCTACGCTGACGCTTGCATTGGACCATCTGCAAATAATCATCTCGATCGATAAACCTGCTGATTGGAGCGGCTTCGCCGAAATTGCTGAGCTATTTAGACGACATCCTTTGTGATGTCTAATTTAACGCGTAAAAAGGGTACCAACTGGCAACGCTAAGGGCATACCGGTCTATGTGCGCCTCAATGCCGGCCAGATTAATACCGTACCTTATCACTGTAGTCAACATGTTTTGCCGCCTCAAAGTGTTTCTGCAAATAACCTTCCATAAGGAAAAGCACTTCTATTAAAAAAATGATGTATTTTTAACAAAAATAGCGGATTTTTATAAGATAATTTTTTTAGAAACCTGGGAACTCCAAGAATTGAGCCGACTAAATGTCGACCGATCTCCTGGATCAGCGTGCAATGGATACAAGGGACGTGATTTAATTATTAAATAGTTCATAGACCATATACCCCAAAATTTCTTCTACACCAAAATTTTCTTTAACTAGAAAAATACTATTAAAGACTTTTTGGTTTGCTTGCGCTGCATCAACCGTTTTTTACCTCTCCTGAATATTTGGAATTTTTTGAGTTGACTATTTTTGATTGCGGTATGCAAATACAGTGACATTGGCTAATTTGGATATCTCATCTTTATCTTCAATATCAACGGAAAAACTGCTACTACATATCGCTTCCGGTGAGCAAATCTTATTTATGACGTAAATGACAGTTACGTGGTTTGCACTTTAAACGACGATATAAGTCTCCTTCGGGACGTTGAGTCGCGATACTCCATCCATCATTCATATTTTATATACCAAAGTAGAGGTTGTAGTAGTAGTATGTATTTATGTTGCCGAATCTAAATACATTTATTAAAAAGTAACACTGTAGGAAAAATACCAAGTTTTGAAATTATACAAAAAGCGCACGGTAGTAGGTTATGGGCCTGTTGATAGCTATCAAAAACTATCAGATTTTCCTGTTCGCGTACACAAAAATCCAGCAAAGTAGCGGAAAATGAGAGACCAAATTGACATTTCATTCTGATGAAATGCTGCTAGTTTCTGCTGGAAAAAATTTCGCCAGCAGCCATTTGCCAGCAATCAAAGTTTTTTAGATTTAGATTTAGATTTATTATTATGATTTTTAAGTTTGAAATAACTTATTAGAACTGAAAATGTATCGGAAGAAAGGAAATACTCATTCACTCATGTTTGATTAGCAAATTGTTTTAGGAAAACTTTTAATTGATGTTCTTTTCATACATATTTTCTATTTTATGCTTTTGTATGTAAACAAAATTTCGATCAGCTGTACTTAAAACTTGCAAGTTTTTGCTAGTTTTGCGTTCGCGTACTTTTGCTAACATTTCTCTCTTTGAGAGAGAACAGATAAAAATTCATTGGAATTTTGCTGCTGAGATTTTTTTTTGCTGGAAGAATACGCGAATACACCAATTTTCGTTTGTAGGAAAAAAAAATCAAATATTGACAAGGAAAACATTATTTTATTCAACAAAGCTTTTTTATTATACCCGAGCGCACTTGTGCACAAGGGTATATTAATTTTGTTCACATAACGGTTGTTTGTAACAGCCAAAACGAATCGAGATAGATATAGACAAATGTATACATAAATGATCAG